AAACTGGATTATAAGATAGGATTAAGCTTCTAATAGTATTGGAAGGAACAGATTATTGCAGACTCAAGCGTATAATCGTTACTTTTATTTAAAACAATCGGACACGAGAGGGAAGAAATAATGTTTCAGATTTATGGAAGAACATAAAACAAACACACTTGAAGATGAAATATATGAATACGATGAAGATGGTAATATAATTTGGACATGGAAAAAAGTGATCGATCCACTTCAACCGATTGATCATGCAGCAATGGAATATGCATCATTCAACAAAAATTTTTATCATGAACATGAACAAATAAAGTAAGACAGGGGTCTTTTATTACTCTAAAGTAATACAGGATCTTTTTGTTGCTGTTACATTTATAATGTGTAAAAACATTTAGAATTGTCTGAAATTGTTAATATTCACAAAGTTTTGTTCTTATATCTGCATGTTCTTATCCTTATCTTTGTATGTCAATTCTTAATATTCTTCCACAATTCGAGAAGTTTCAGATCGATGACAACGATAAAACTTTTTGAATTGCGAAACAGTTTGAACTTAAAAGTGGCTGGCTTCAACCCACCAAAGCCAGTCACTGCATTTGCACATTTTGGCTTCGATGAAGCACTCATGAATGTAATTCGGAAATCAGAATATGAGCATCCTACCCCTATACAGTCTCAGGTACAGTTCGCAGTTTTCATCTTCACCTTTAATTTGGCATTACAGTATGACCGTAGAGCCGTACCGCTCTTATCATGGCAATATGGCAGAATGATGTACTCCACTGAAACTTATAATTTACATTTAAAGATTGTACTATAAATATCGTATGTGATGAAGAAATTGTGTTGCAGTGAGGCAGAAATCACGGAGTGATTACCCTTTCGCCGTTGATCTTGATGCACTGCTAAAACATGTATTTCCCATTTCTCTTTCTTGAATGGTAAACAAATAAAAATTAGAGTTCAAAGACGCCTAAGTGGTTTGCTGATTAAATAATCAAGTTAAATTATGGAACATTTCAGTCTATACCGGCAGCCCTGAGTGGACGGGATGTTTTGGGGATAGCCAAAACAGGCAGTGGCAAAACAGTGGCTTATTTATGGCCTGCTATCATTCACATTATGGACCAGCCAGATCTGAAAGAGGGTGATGGGCCAATTGCTCTGGTTATTGTGCCAACTCGAGAATTAGCACTCCAAGTAATATATTTCGTGATTTCCTTATTTTGGGCTACAATAAACCTCATTAAAGAAAGTCTTCATCAAATGATTTTGTAGTTCAGTTAGTTACCGCAACTTAGATAACTTTATCATCTTGTATTTATTTCGACTCACATGTTTTTCCTTATCATTTCTACATGCAGGTATATCAAGAAGCTAAACGTTACTGCAAAGTATACAACATTAACGTTGTT